AGGACTAACATTAGACAGAATACTGACATACAGAGAATACCTAACTAAGGTGGCAGCAAAGATTGAAACTCGGAACAGTATAATAAATAAGCTGGCTCAAACTACCTGGGGCTCAGATGATAACCCGATTAGGATATCTGCACTCACCCTCAACTACTCGGTAGTCGAGTTCAGTGCACCAGTATGGCTTAACAGTTCACATACAAACAAAATATATAGACACCCAAATAAATGCAACAATGAGGACAATTTTCGGAAGAATTAAGTCAACACCGGTCCCCTGGTTACCACTTACCAGTACTGAGCAACACAAAGCCACCTCACCTCCGAAGATACAGTTCTCTAGTCCGAGAATATAAAAATCATAATTCAAATAAAAGCTTACCCATACACAGATACATGAATAATAATCCCAACCAAAGATTAAAATCCCGTAAACCTCCTTGGAAGCTGGCACAACAATTAAGTAAGGAAACCTATAACCTTAACTTTAAATAGACTGATAAATGGAGTCAAGATAACCCTGGCAAATTTAGTATTAATGAACAACCTACGGAAAGGCCCCACCCCCGGGGTTCCAACTACCTCGAAAGGAATGGGTGACCTTAACTAAACTTAGGACTGGCCACGGAAAAACAGGAAATATGCTGTATAAATGGGGACTTAAGGATACATCACAATGCGACTGCGGAAACGACAATCAGACAGCCAATCACATCGTGGAAGAATTCCAACTTACCAGGCGGAATGAAACATCTCCACAGGGTTACAGCAGCGGCAACAGAATGGCTGACCAATCTGGACTTAAGAGTCTAAGACAGCACAAATAGTATCCCGACTCACCATCCGGTTGTTCTTGTATATATTTTATATTATTTTATCTATATCTAACTACTACTACTGTTTTATGTTTTCTTATCAACATTTTATATCTATATTTTATATTTTTATATTTCTTATTGTAATATTTGTTGTTGTTGCTGTAGTATTAGTTAACTTTAATAAGTACTGTTGATGTTGGATTAAACTATACGAAAAATAAATAATACCACCAATATTTGTTCGTTGAATTCTAGACTTTGTCGGCTTTTGTAATCAACTTATTGATTTGATTGGTTCTGAAAACTTCATATTAAAATCATCCACAAATGAGTTAAAAGTTCAAACTACTCAACCCAAATTGTATCGGAAAATAATTGTCTTTCTAAAATAAAATAATACACAGTATCATACCTGTCAACCTGTCAACACCGATAGCTGAGATAGAAATTGCCATACGATAAATTGTTTTCTTGGTGACACATGTCAGTAACGTTATTCAAAAAACCAGAAAAAACAATCTTCCAACTATTTTGTCGATCTCGAGTCAGCAGCAATCAATACTGACATATTCAGAGTGACCTCTACAATAAAATAAAAATCGAAGAACCGCATAAACGTAGAGACACATTAAAATTAATATTTTCATAACTACCAAGACTAGGGTCATTCAAAAAAATGTTGTTCCTACTCGGAAACATGTGTTCGCTACCGAGAAGAACACCTTTCCACCCATTACACCAAAACAAGGGACTTGCCGGCCAAATGTGCTCTTTTGCAAGGGGAATCATCCCACGAATTTCAAAGGTTGTCAAACATATAAAAGTCTCAAACAGCTTAGTAAACTTACCTAAAAAAAAATTAGTAACAATACAAATAATTTTGTAAATAATGTTAATTATGTTAATAACACTAATGTTGAAGTCACTCATCAGCATACTTTCAACATTAATACACCTCCAAAATCTTCGAAATCATATGGAGGCAGCCTCCCCAAACATCAAATAGTTTCATAAATGACAGTACACTCCTTAACTTCCTTAACAAGTTAAAATCGCTTATAAACTCGTTACTCTCCCTCCTCACTATAATAGTTCTTGACCATCTCTTAAAGCTAAATGCCAGTTAAATCATTTATATCTGAATCCTTAGACATCCATATGTAGAACGCCTATCACAGGAACGAACTCATCACAGAACTAAAAATTAATAGATTTATCTCTAATTTATGAAACACATACAACGCACATTCAATTTTCAAAACCGGGTTACAACATAATTACTAGAAACCACCCATAAAACACCACCCACACTGGAGCCGCGATTATCATTAAAACTTCATTCTTGTAAACCCCCTGTCCCAGTGTACAAGATAACTATTTACAGTCAGCTATTTAAATTATTAAATTTAATTATATATCTGAAACTATCGCAAAAAATTACTTCCACCCAAACATAAAATTACATTAATACAATTCGAACACTTTTTTACCTAATTGGGTCACTGTTTCATAGTAGGATTAGACTTGAATGCCAAAAACCAATTCTGGGGCTGCCACAGCATTAATCCTAAATGACGCATCCTACTTCAGCAATCTAACTTAAAAAAGTATTCTATACTAGCTTCCCCAGATCCAACTTATTGGCCGACGTCAATAAGTAAGCGTCCTGATATATTAGACGTATTTATATTTTATAACTGTTATCCACAACAGTTTCCATACTATTATTAAAAATTTACTCAAACCGTGTTCTGGCTACACTTCAGTTCTTCTATCTATTGCTGTTCAACCCTCCCCGAGTCCCGTCAAACTAGCTTAACGAATGGCTCTGTGGATCGGAAAAAAAGAACAAAAAGTGGAACTAAAAACCCGACTTATTCGCCCAAATGGCATGGAATGTCGAATATTTTACAAAAACAATTCAATCAGCAGTTTGGGGATCAACAATTAAAACCTCTCCTAGAAGCCAAAACTCCTTCCCAATACCCATCCACATTCAAGAGCTAATAGCAACAAAAATACGTGCTAGAATTAAATCTGATAAAAATATATTTAATAATCTTGCATCTTCACAAAAACATATTCTATAACAACTCTGAAACAACAATTTTAATTCTAGGGGTTTCCTTACTTAAGTCAAAAAATGGTTCCTTTGGAAAGCAACTTGGAATTGCTTAAAGCAGAAGTCCATAAATTCCATCTCAAAAAAGAAGATAATTTTGGTGCAAAACGGATGAAGGAAAGGCCAAACATTTTTGTACGCACCTACCAAAGTTTTTTAACCACATCATAACATTGTAATTAACACTTTTGAAGGGTATATTGAAAACTCTCTAATCTTTCTCCGTCCTCTCTACCAACCCCCAAAACCGTGTACGCCTGGTGAACTTCAATATCACATAAAACTGTTTCCTCTTAAAAATTCTTCTGGTCTGGACCTTATTACAGATAGAGTAGCCCACTAGCTGCTAAAAAAGTAATAACACGCCTCGCTCATATATTGAACTCTATCTTAAGGCTTTCCTAATTTCCTCTACCATGGACCACTTTCATTGTAATCTTAATCTTAAAACAAAGTAAGCCGCCAGAAATATCTTCTTCATATCGTCCAATAAGTCTTTTGCCTCTTTTTGCTAAACGTTGTGAAAAACTAGTATTGAAACGTATTTCTCCTTTCATAAATAAGGTGCCAAAAAATCAAATATAAATAAAATTCAAACCTTCCAATCAACCACTCTTCTCATAATTACAAACGTTCCATTATATGTTTAAAATCACACTCGTCTTACCGACTTAAGAATTAACATAGTAGACGTAACTACAAAGGTATAAACGATTTCGTTCACGGCTAACCAACCACCTAAAATATCTAATATCCAGCACTAAATTCTAGGTAAAGGGAAGATGGTATAAACCACAATTTAAAAAAATTAAAAAATTAAAAAAACTAGATAATAAATTAAACTATTTTTCTTCTCTATTAAAATCATTATTTCACTATTTTGCAAGATATGTAGGAAAGTACAATAGGTTGGTAAAATGTGGAAATGATGTTAGACTTGGGTGTGGGAATGATATGAGAACATATCCCATAAAACTAAGCCCCAACGCTTTGAGGAAAATACTAAGAATCATCCCCAAAGGTTAGATCATAAATAATAGCAAAATAAAACATTCAATCAATCAAAAATAAAAATGAAGTATTATTTTTAATATTTATTAAATTATTACATTGACAACAATTTTTTTCCTATTCAGTCTGTTATTATCCTCTTAATCATTGTCAAATAGACAATCAACAAGGAGTTAATACAATATTGAACGTTACGGATAATATTGTTAAAAGTGAAAAAAAAAAAAAAAAATTAAAATAAACCTAATTAAAAATTACCATACATATTGAATTACAGAACATTTAAGTTACATTAAGTCACACGAAAAAAAGTAAAACTAATTTAACCAAAAAAGGGAAAATTATTAATTGTTAAAGGTGTCGGTGCAGGTTTTAATAATTTTCTACAATTCTATAAAATTTGAAAGAGATGAGAATTTTTTCCAGGTTAGGCCAAAGCCCAAATTTCCAATTTATTTTAAATGGTGCTACAAAACTACATTTGAAAAATAAAAAATATTGTGCATTATCCAAATGCATATTTTAGCTTCTATAATTATAATTTAGAAAAAAGGGCTGTAATCCATCCTGTGAAATTTCCTCCGATGTTAAATTAAAAAAAAAATAACGAAACCCGATTACAGGGTGTCAGAGTTTAAACAGTAAGATATGATTTTATACTCAAAATGCACAGCTCCGATGCCCTTAATAACATGAAAAATTAATTTTTGTACCTTTTATTAATGATGAATGTATAAAATAATAAAATCTGCTGTAAAACTTAATTTTAAAATTACCTACATAAACTTTATTACTAATTTAATCCTTATATTGTTATTTGTATTTTTACATACGCATGTCTATATAATTGAAAATATAAAAGCAGATACCTAATAATATTTATGCTGAGTACCTACAAGAAAGTTTAATATCAACTATGCAATTACTTAAAAAATATGAACTATTTTGTGATCAAATTAAGTTTTAATTGTTGTTTACTATGAATTAAATTACAAAGGTATATCAACAAAAACTGAAATTAATATCACACATAATTAGTTTTAAAAATAATTTATAATGTTAAATAATTTTCAATCGCACAGTTATTATATAGCTGGCGAAGTTGAGCCGGATGTAGAGCCTGATCCATCACTGAAAACAAACAAATTGTTGTTACAAGATTAGTAATTAAATGTGTCATAATGTTATTCAACATACTACAATAAAGTTTCACGATCTATATTTTATATAGGGGATAATTAGTTATCAATGAAATGCAAGCACAAACTTGAAGTATCTTAACATTAAAAGAAATACAGCCTAATAAGTTTTAATAAACTAATAAAAAATGTATATACTAGTAAAACCATCTAATAGGAATCAATTCAGGGACCTACAATAAATGTCAATTACTGAGGATGTACATAAAACTTTTTTCTTTATAGTTATAATTGATTAAGTTTATAATTACATTTAGACATTTTACTAAAAACAAAAGTACACTGATATGGATGTATTGATTTTCTACAATATAAATAATGGTTCAAAAAAATAAGAAAATGTATGAATGTAGTGTTAATACATGATTCATACTATACTTACCGAATGTGTGAACCATAAAAATCAATATTTACCTAGATCTAGAGGGAGATCTGCTGCCAGATTTGGAGTGTGAATTGGATGCAGATCTACATCCTGAACGAGCTGGTGAATTAGAAGCAGAAGAACTACCAGACTTTGATCTTGATACTGACTCAGATTCACTTTGTGATTGAGAGCGCGATTTGGAATCAGATGCAGAACGAGTCCTAGTTCGGCTATTAGATCTTGAACTACTGTGTGAAGGTGAACGACTTCTAGAACAACTTTGTGAAGGCGGATGACTTCTCGAACGAGATCTATTGCTAGAATGTGAACTGCTACTAGATCGAGATTTACTACCAAAACGTGATCTCGAAAGACTCCGTGAGACACTTTTAGATTTTGATTTAGACCTGTGTGAACCAGACAGAGATTTGGATGGACTTCTGGATTTACGGCTACCGGAAAGTGAATGAGACTTAGAGCTATAAATTATAATAAAATGAATTATTGTGGTGTTAAAGAAAATCATAATAACTTAGCATGTGATATGCAAGCCTGGAAATAAGCTTGCTCAGACCTTAAAGTTAAGCTAAAACTTTTTAACTTCACTCATTTTTATTGATATAAACCGAATAAATAACGAGTTACTTTTAATCAAACTAGAGTCAGTGGTGTATTGGAGGGTATACGCGGGTATACGTCGTATACCCGGATCCCTATTTTTGGATTTATGCGTATACCTTTAAGAAAATTAGTCATTAATGGGTATACGCACGCTTCTAATTTATCATCAGACAATTTACTATTTAGTCATATTATCACCAAACAAAAGTAAAAACTTAAAAATAATAATTAAATTTTACCCTACTACAAGTTCTTGCGAAGACGATCGGAAACTGCCGAGCGTATATACAATCAATGTACAGCGGTTCCCAAACTGTGTACCTACTAAGTTTCAAAAATATATTGTAAACCACTGCTTTATCGTGTATACCTATTACCTACACTGAATCGGTCGCGGTGTGCCGTGTATGGTTAATCTAATAGTTAAAAATAGATCCATAGTCAAAAAATCGTGTACGATTATTGATAATATAAAACAATAAACATACGTAATTTCAAACTAAATGATAATGACAAATTGGAATAATAATAAAATAATTATTGTTGATTTATTGTGTTATTACTTGTCATCCAATAACCAAATTATAAAATCGAACTATTAGTTTCTTATTATATTAATTCTATTAATTTTGTAAAATATTTTATATATAAATATATTATAATATTATATGATCGATAATGGATAATAAACGTACCGCTACTTCACAAAAAATCACTAATTATTTTTCTGTGCCGTCGACGAAAAAACATAAACCAACACCAACTGATGATGAAGTTGCAATAACTAATAATCCGTCAGAAAGTAAAAAAGTAAGTTATTAAATTGTTAATGTAACCTATTATAATTAATTTATTAATTTACATAACTGACAAGAATTACATTAAAACTGCCTTTTAAGATTTTTGTTTAAACAGTACCTAATATAAGTTCTTTATTTCTGTGTGTAAAATTAGTTTAAATTTATTAATTGTTGTTTATTTTATTGGTCAGTGATAGTTATTCTAGCAATGTTACTAATTACTAATAATTAGTAATATTTTAAGTTTATAATATCAAATATGAAACTATTTAATTATATTTACAGGAAGTTACAGTCAATAATGATGTTGTCTATACATTAGATTCTGCTACTAAAACCATTAATGAAGATTTGGTAAAATATTTAACAATATATATTTTTTTTCTTAGAACTATAAGAAAACTCTATATAGAACTCTCTTTATAGAACTCTAAATAATTTCAGGTAACTCAGTGGCCACAGGATTGGACCTTTGAGCAGTGGCAATCAAAAAAAGAAAAATATGCTTGGATGAATTGTCACAATGGTAAAATTGGCTGCTCCAATTGCCAAAAGTTTAGTAATATACACAATTCTAATAATTCTGCTTTTGAAATATCTCCAGAGTGGTCTCTTAGTCTTATTAGTGGGGGAACTAGTAATAATAAAAAAACTAGACTTTCTGTTCTACGGAATAAAATCAGAAAGCATGTAACATCATCAGCTCATAAATGTGCTACAAATATATTAATTGAAAGAGAATCTGACAAATTAAAAAACCAATTTGAAAATAGTTCATATAAAGTTCATAAATCTACATTATCAGTCTTTAAAACAGCTTACTATATAGCAAAAAATAATAGACCTTACAATGATCATTTTCAACTTTTGGAGTTGCAAGCACTTAATGGTATTGATATTGGGAATACGCTTCATTCAAGATTTTCATCTACTTCTATTATATCTCACATAGCAATTGAAATGAAAAAAAAAATAGTGTGCAACATTGTTAAGTCTAATTCAAAATTATCAGTTTTGATTGATGAATCAACCACATTGAGTACAAAATCTACTATGGTTGTATATATTAAAGCATCTATATCTTCTGAAGATCCTATTTTTATATTTTTAGCCCTTGTTGAACTTAAACATCAAACAGCAGAAAATATAGTTACCCAGCTTATTGATTGTTTACATGAATCTGGATTTAATAATGAATATTTAATAAATAATTGGATATCTTTTGTCAGTGACGGAGCAAGTGTCCTTTTAGGAAAAAAGGCAGGAGTTGCAAAGAGATTAAAAGATATATATCCATTAATATTTAGCTGGCATTGTTTAAACCATAGGCTGGAACTTGCTGTTAATGATACAATGAAAGATTTAAACTCTATTAATCATTTTAAATCATTTATCGACTCTTTTTATGTTCTGTATAATAATTCGCCAAAAAACACTAATGAAATTAAAGATGTCTGTAATGAATTGAATATTATATTTGTAAAAGTTGGAAGAGTTCTTGATACTAGATGGGTAGCAAGCAGCTGGAGAGCTGTCAATGCAGTATGGAAGACATTTCCTGCTCTAAGTAAGCATTTTTATAACTCTTCTATAGATAAAACTAAAGATTCTAAGACAAGAAGTAAATATTTGGGTTTATATAAGAAATTGTGTTCACCTGAATTTTTGTATGATTTATCTTTAATGTGTGACGTGCTTTTAGAACTTTCTAATTTATCTTTGAATCTTCAAAAACAAAAAATAACTCTTATGGAAGCAAATTTAAATATTAAAAGATCAATTAGAATTTTAGAATCTTTTAAAGATAATATAGGAGATCATATGAAAGAAGTTGAAGTGGCAAATAATGATATGATTTTCAAAAATGTAAAACTAATAAATTATTCAAAAATTGTACCAATTAAAAAAAATCAGTTCATAACTAGTATCTGTAATAATCTAAAAAGTAGATTATTAGAAGATACTAATGACTTAAGTTTAATGAAAGACATCACAGTTCTTGATAAAAGTACTTGGCCAGTTGATATAGACATAAGGTATGGTGAAGAAGAAGTCAAACGTTTGTGCAAACGTTTCATGTTAAACAAGAATAATGCAATAAGCGGATTGAGAGTATACATTGATGAAGATAAATACCCTCAAGATGTATTTCCAGAGTTGAATAACTGTATTAAAACTTTTCCTTGCTCAACTGCTGAATGCGAACGTGGTTTCAGTGTTTTAAATTTAATTTGCACAGATCTTAGGTCTACATTAAGCATAACTAATATTTCAAATTTGATGTTGATAAATATAAATGGACCCCCACTTAAGTTATGGAGCCCTGAGTCCTATGTTAAAAGTTGGTTAGTTCAACATAGATCAGCAGATGATACCAGAACAAAAAAAACTACAAAGAAAGAAGAAGATACAGATGTTTATAAAAGAAGTTTATGGACAATTGTTAATTCTTTAAAATGATTTATATAATATTTAAATTTTGATATGTTATTAACATAGTTGTTTATTGTTTTATATACATAACATATAAGTATTTTACTGTACAATTTTTTTAAAGTTTGATAATAAAAAATTGTATTATTTATGATATATATATGAATTGAATCAATTTAAAAAAAAAATAATACATTGATACTTGGTACATATTACACACAGTGGAGTATCTGAGTATATATGAATTAATTTTATGGTTGGGGGTGAATATAGGGTGAACTGGGGGGCGTATATAGGGGGGTATATACGCCACTGCATATACATATACACACGAAGAGTAAGTGTTTGTAATAAAGTAATACAAGATTATTAAATACTAAGTGTAATGATTTTTCGAGCGGAGCGAGAAAATTTTTAAGGTAGGTATATCGTATATATAGGTATATATATCGTATATATTCAACTACTTTTAGGTGCGTATACCCATAAATTTATTTACCAATACACCACTGACTAGAGTTATATTAATTTATAAATAATTAAATAATAAATATAATATGATTATTATTGGTGAAGCATATTGCAAGAATATGTACATTTCATTATTTTAAGCCATATTACTGGTTATTTATATATTAAAACAAAAAAATAAAAAAATAACTTAATTTTAGTTAACATGTTAGTTGTAAGTTTCCATACAACTATTAACTTAACTGAATTTAAAACATTTTAAAAACATTAAACTTCATAAAATGTTTCATACAACTTAATTTAACTCTATTAACAATTATTATTAACTTCCTAGGCTTGCAGGTGATATGTACAAAATATATCATGTAACAAAGTAGTAGAACTTACCTTGAACGTGATTTATCATTCTTTGAACTACTGAAAAAATTAATTTTAATATTAGGAGTAACGAATAAGTTACAACTTTAATTTATAACAATGAGAAAATATTATACTAACTGTCCAGAAATTCGCTTTTTTACTTCACTGTCACTACTGTCATCTTCACTGGTAGATATAGTTGCTTTGGATACTACTCTAAGTTTCTGCTTAGATGATAACACAGGTTCCTTCTTATTAATTGTAGACTAAACACAACACGTTTTAGTTATAGTGTTTTGTTTATGATCAAATTTAAATTAAAAACTTACAGAACGCCCTTTTTTTGATGCAATTTTATTACTTTCACCAGATCCTTCTGATGCAAGACTATCTTTCTTCCGTTTAAATCCTTTTTTTTTCTTTTCGTAATCACCACCAGTTCCACCACTGCATTCAAATAAAAAAATGTTAATCAATTATTATAAAAATATTATTTAATTGAGGGTTTATAGATATTTTTTAACAAGAACCAAAAACCTACTAAATGGTAGCTTTGGGTACTCGGCATCGATGACAACAATATAAAATTAGTATTTATTAAATAAAGTTAATATAGAGTAGGATTCAATTTTTTTTTAATTGTGATGTGGTGTATGTTTAATACATGCAAAAGATTATAATACGTAGCTAATATAATGCAGTAAAAGCCAATGCATAAAAAAATATTACCTTTTCCTTGGTTTGTTAGACTTTGAAGGCCTAGGACTTCTATTGCCACCTGGTACAGATGCAATGCTTCCACCTGAATCTGAACCATAGTTTTCACGACGTTTCATTTTACCCTTAGGTTTTTCTAAAACATGGTCAAATACTAGAGCATTCTTTGTTTTTTCTCTATATTCTTGACGTTTTAACAACATTTCTTTTTTTTGTTCTTCTTGTTTTTGTAATGCTCTAGTCTGCTCTTCAATCTGTTTGACACGGTATAATTCTCGTTCCTCTTTCTGTTTATAACGCATTTCACGCTCATCGTTATCCATCTGATGGGCTCGTGCCACATGATACTGGACTTGAGACAGTAAATCTTGACACTGTTTAGCTTCAATATCAGCCAGACTAACATCATACCTCATACGATCACCATGGACAGACAAATATTGGAAGTATCTGAAAAGCAATACTAATTATAACACTAAATGATAATATTTACAAAACCAGTAACTATACTTATGTGATAGTCCAAGTTCATGTACAGCCTTCAGTACATCTTTCAAGTTTGATTTTTCATCTTTCAGTATTTGAGTTGCTAGTTTTTGTAGGACAAAAGCAATATTATAAATTATGACTGTATCCTGAGGAGCAACCCTTCGAGCCTAATATCAAATAAACATTATATGTGACTGCATTAGCTTATATAACAAATAATTATGCTTACTCACTTTTAAAAAAACCGTTTTTGCCTCTTTTAACTTTCCTGCTCTGAAATATGCACGCCCAAGATATTGAAGTACTTCAACATTATCATGTTTAAAAAACTTCTTCATACAATTTTCATACTATAACGTCATATTATATAAATAATAAACATGTAGTCACACAAAATGTGTTTCATAAATTTAATATTTTACTTATAATCTGGAAAATTCCAACATACCATTTGAATAGCACTAATATACTGTTTTTGTTCAATGTATATATGTGCAATATTCAACCAGACGTCACAAAATTCAGCAGTTGCTTCTCTTACTTGAGCAAATATATCTCTTGCCTCATTTATGCAATGTTTATGTGCCAAAACACAACCTTAATACACAAATTTAAAATGACAAATTTATTTTTAGTAGAATAGTAACATATTAGTGCATCCTTACAATTGAGCATTCAGCTGAAAATCTATAAAGAGGAATCTCCTCAAAAAATGTCTATATTGCAAATTTATTTGAGTATAATTTGTCAATACATTTCTTTAGATGGAAAAATTTAAAGTAATATCTTTTGACTTTTATCAATAAAATACTACATGTTTGCAGTGGCATGCCCAGAAATTATGAATGTGTAGAAATGTAACAACTAATAATACATTTAAATAAACTTTGGTGGTAACGCCAAGACTCAAACTACTCAAAAATCGTAGTTACTAACCTAATGATACATATAATCACTAACCAATGCCATTAGCTGCCCAAATGTTCCTTGGATCATTTTTCAATACTTTTGTAAAAAATTGTAATGCCAAATCTTGATGTCTTTTTTCCTGGTCCTTATTTCTAGTTGGTTGATGAAGAGTTTGCAACCAAACATTGCCCAGTGCAATTAATGAATATGAATCATTTAATGTAGATGGGTTCTTAAGACAGTCGAAATTATTATGTTTGAATTATGTACAAACTTTATTTTGACATACCTTCAGCACACGTTCAAATTTTTTTTGCCCAGGACCCCATTCCATTTTGGCTAAATGCAAGTTTCCCAGCAGTGACCAGGCATCAGGATGTTCATTGTCTATATGTAATACTTCTTTAAACCAATCAGAAGCTTCATAAATTTGGTTGCGATCTCGAGCCATACAACCCAAACGTAAGTAACCTGTAAGTCAATAGATTACAATACCAAATCATAGCATAAAAGTAAATCAAATAGATTATATACAATCAATATAATTAGGATGCTCCTTGAGAATGTCTTTGTAAAGTATTTCTGCCTTCTGAAACTGGCATTGCACTTCATAAATCCTTGCCAAATTGTATGTAGTTGTAATAGCAATGGAGTTATAACGCTTTGGGTCAGTTTCAGCCATTTTCTTTGACAAACTCAAAGATTCTTCAAGTTTAGAACGAGCTTCGTCCATATTTTTAAGCCTTTAATTATAAATAATAAGTGTAATTTTATCATTTTTATGTTTATAATTTGTTTGCACTTTGGCATAAATTCATACCTATAATTTAAAGCAGCTACATTATTAAGTATTTCGGGTGGAATGTGATTATTAGCTCTGTTCCGCATTAAAACCATAGCTTTAAAATATGCAGATAATGATGCTTGTAAATCTGATTGCTCTAATATTTGAGCTAATTCTATCCAAGCATCTACATCATCTGGAAAATGCTCTGTTACCTAAGGCCATAAAAATAGTAATTAAAGTTTTACATTTTTTCATTTTTACATTTCATACTTTTTTTAAATAACTTTTTGCAACATCTCGTTTTTGTTGATTTTTTGAATCAGCATACAATGAACCAAGAATTTTCATTGCTTCATAATTTCCTGGATGAGCTTTAAGTACTTTTTCAAAGCACTGAGCAGCCTTAATAAATTTAGAAAAAAAAATGTATTTTAATATACATTGATGTAAAGAAAAAATGTTATGAACAAGTATTACATTTTCTTTATCACCACCATAAATATACATTTGACCAAGGCCATAATGTGGGAGTACAAATGTAACCGGCGCAAACTGGGTTGCTTGATAATAATATTGAAATGCTTGGTCATAATTATTCTAAAAGTTGTATCATATTAAAATTATATTAAACAGTATAATAATATTGAAATGCTTGGTCATAATTGTTCTAAAAGTTGTATCATATTAAAATTATATTAAACAGTATAACCAAAAAAAAAATCCTGTATTACCTGTACATGAAAAACTCTAGCCATTTGATAACAACTTTCAGCTCTCATAGCTTCATTTTCTGTGTTTTGTAGTGCATGTCTAGCAAGCAATTCAGACTTGGCATAATCTTTTTTAAAGAAAAAATGATTGGACAAATGATTTAACACCATTGGGTTGGCTGTATCTATAGTATATGCTTTTGACAACATATTTACACCTAATTTGATGTCGCCAGGATTTTCGCTATTCAACTTCATGACGGCAAGACCCACTAATGCACCAACGCATGTGGAGTCTAACTGCAGGGTACGTTCAAATGCTAATTGTGCTTTAACCATGTTTCCTAGTTTCAAAAAACAATGTGCTATGCCTAATCTAACATCAGCAGGACACTGAGGGTTAGAGCGCAATGCTTTTTTATAATACGCTAGAGCTCCTCTGTAGTCCTTCCTGTTGAATGCAATACATGCTTTGCCTAATTGAGCTGGAATATTATTATATGATTGATTCAATACAAAATTAAACTGAGCATCTGCTTGTTCGATTTTACCACCATCTAATAAGCAAAAGAAAGCACGGCCCAACAAATGATTCTACAAATTTGGAAAACGTTTGATTACATTTAAAAAATTAAAATTTAGATTCAAGATACAAATTATAACCACATTCTTACCGTATCGTACATAATAATTTTATCTGCAGTTGTATAAAGTTGTGTGGCCTTAGCAAAAAGTTCACGGCGTTTATCTTTATTTTTTTCTTGATTAGCTGTTTGCACATAATATGCTGCTAACATATCCAGAGCTCTCATTTGATCCTTATCGCTATCTTTATATTCTAAACTGGCACTACAACGTGATGACTCTAACAATCTAACCAATGCAGCTGAATTGCCTCTTTTGTAGTATTCCAACTAAAATTAGTTATGCAAATAACATTATTTTATGTTAATGTGTAAATCAATTGAGTTATTAAACAAGACATACAGCTAAATTGACCCATATATATAGATTTGAATGTTCAGACCTTAAAATGCCAAGTACTTCATCATACTCTGGCAACTTGTCTAGTTGTATTTCAATAACCTAAAAAACAAGAAATCAATTTTGAATTAGATGTTTAATCAAATCTTACAAAAACATTAACTATTATAATTAGTAATTTTACAAACAATGTGGAATATGGAGAATGAAAATAAAACAAATTTCTTTTGTAATTTATACAGTTGTTCTACACTACTTAACAATTCTTATTTTTATAACTATGCATAATAAGAATACAAGATAGGTAGGTAAATATATCATATTTTATTATGTGTTAATCATCATTTATAAACTTCATAATTTTTGTAGTATTGATGGAATATTAATTGTTATCTACCTCATATATTGTATAACAACCTACAAAAATGATGGACAATTCTGAAAACTGATTAACAAGTGCAAAGTATTCTTGGTATTATACTATTGAGTAATAATTTGTTTATAGATTGTTATTTTCTAAACTATAATCAGTTTAAACAGTTTTATGGTGTAAGATATCGCACAGACATAGCTCGTCAGTACGGGCAGTACAACTGAAAGAAAACTGCAACAACAGTGCAGAAGAAACCAATTTACAATTTGCAAAGAAAACTTTTACACTCTAACAATTTACTGTGAATTTTTATTTTTTTGAGGGAAGCATTCTCCGCTTTTCCCCATTTACAATCGAGCATTACAAGACAAACAAATTTAAATGCAAAATAGTAGATGAACTGTGCAACATTAAGTGTAAGTCTAGTAATTTATGTACTAAAATTTAAGTAGCTTAATAATGATATAATAATATCTCTTTGAAACAATTTCTAAAAAAAAAATGTATGATTTGCACATTTATTACACCTGAAAATTATATAAGTAACACTAACGTGTTATATTTACATAATTGATTTATTAAATAATTTGATTTATATAAATTTAAAAAATAGTTGGATAGGTTATGGATAAAGACTGAATTAATTGTAAAAATAAAATATATTTTACTTGTTGTTCATAATACTGTTATTTCATATTGTTCTTAACATTAATCAAATAATATACATTTATCGATAATCTTCAAAAAATGTTCTGTCAACCTTTTCTTAAGTTATTAAGTATATAGTTAATAAGTAACTTATTATATCATTTTTTCAATTAATAAATAAATTAAACCAAAGCTTCAAATTAACATCTAATAATAATATTGTACAATTTCTGTGTTTAAGTTTCAAATTAACATTAGGTTATCATTTGAGTCCCATATGTGTAATTGTTTTTCATAATGAAAAAAAACCCTAATAAACTTCATACAGCAACTGCATAAATTCAAAGATTTTAAAAGGTTTTCAGAAATTTTTCCTGATTGTTTAAATAAAAAATTGATAAAATTGATTAGTTTATAATATAACTAACTTTTAACTAATATTGACAATTTAGTTTTCATCTTTATATCTAATGGTTATCATTCATTTTAAATGAAATTATTTACCAATCATTTTATAATATGGGAAGACCACAGTTCACAATAACCTACCATATTAAATGACATATATATTTTTTTAAATATAAGAAAAAATCCCATATTTGTTTAATTGTATACTAAAAAGAATATACATTAAAAAAATTATTATTGGAAATATTAACAACATTTATACAATAAATTATTAGTACAGAACTACCTACATGGACCAAAAATTCATAAGCTTAACATTTGTTTTGGATTTGTAAAACCGAAGTATAAATTAAATATTAAAGGTAAGATAGAAACATAACATACCTCATCTGAGTCCTTTAACGGTATTTCGATTAAGCTGTCCATTTTGAGACGGTCAAGCATAAACTGTGTGAACGAAACGACTAATGTTGCAATTATAATTTACTGTACCTAGCGAATTTTAAGCAAAAATACACACCAAAACGGTCCCTAAAATCATAAAAAAATAAAGTATTAAGAATAAACACTTCCAAAATCAACCTCCTGGATTCAGGAATCATGAGTCGAGTCGCCACTCTCAAGTCCTGTTTCCGCAACTCGGCTTTTCGTTATCACCATACCGTACGGCTTATATCGTATTAATTTATGATAACCTAAGGGATGAATAATTAACTAAATTTAAAAAAAAGCCTTTGTTAGAATCATACAACACGTTTAGACGATTTCATTAAAATTTTAACAAAAACCAGTAGAAGACAATGACTTAATTAAGTAACAACACGAAAACATTATACAAGGTTTATATGACGCGATGGGCGTAGGACGAGAGAAAGAGAGCTTGGTTAGAGAAACCAGGTGGTCCCAATAGACGTGAACAAAGAGCGGCCAACAACATTAAAATAATAGTAATAAATTACACAATAGTGTGGAGTAAACTAATCAGGCAGGCGATTCTTCCCTTAGTGCCTTCAACAGTTGCGATATATTAACAAAGAAAACTCAGTAACTCTAAGAACAAACAACTTTTATTTGAAGAAAACAATAAAATGCACATTACGCGTAGAACGCCAAAAAATATTCATAAGTGAATCGCGGATATGAAAATTGAAACACACGCGTTTTATATCGTACGGCGGGCGTAAGTCGCGTTTATGGATAGGGATGAGCGAGTGTATTAGCTACCACATCTGTTGTACGACGATACGGCGCGAGCGAACGAGTCGTCGGAACGGTCCGTATCGATGCTGTTTCTAAGCCCCAAGGCGACGCACAAAACCGACGGTTGCTAAGGGGGGTGTGACCAACCCCTTGCAGCGTTCGAGCAATCCGGGGTGAAATTGTGTGACGGTGATGCCACCACAATATTAATAATAGGGAGTGAGCGGCATAGACTTTATTACTACCTACTACCTACTACTAAACGATAACATAATATTTGGTCATAAGTCATAACTCGTAGACGACAACTGTGTATAATAATAGCAGTCAGCATTACGAGCGGCTAACAAAATCTTGCAGTGATTTTGGCCTGTCTCGACGACAAAATACAATAATCTACATGTTATCTATATTACATTACCTTACCCTACTTCCCCGAGTAATCAAAAAGCACCCACAATGTTGTTACTCTTTACATACACTCATCATTACTTGTCTTGTAGTTTAAGTTATAAGAGGACGCCATACCCGAATGTGTTGTTTCTGTCTTACAAACGCGTAACATACCAAATTTACAATCGGCTGTTCACGTTTTACGCCGTTAACTTAAAAGTTAGAGTGAATCGACCTACTATAAAACTTGATGATAAGAACTTGATCTGTGTTTTTTTGGAAGTTTTTTTTCAACATTTAAGTTTTTAAGTGAGTTATGAGCATTTTAAATTTACATTTATTACACAAGCATACCTCACTTAAAAACTGAATTATCGTAAAAAAACTTCCAACGAAACACGGATAAAGTTCTAACTATCAAGTTTCAAAGTAGGTCGATTCACTATAATTTTTAAGCAAACGGCATAAAACGTGAACTGCTTAGCGTAAATTTGATATGTTACGCGTTTGTAAGACGGAGACAACAAATTCGGGTGTGGTGTCCCCTAAAGGTCCATGGCTCTTGATAATGGGGGACATTCGAATATCTGTGGTGATTACCTACTTTATCATAGGGAATATTAAATTAATTATATACATTAAATAATATTAGGAATATGTCTATGGTTGTGAATAGAACGGTATTTTTCGAAGTGTGTGTGTTGTGAGTACTCGTAGATGAAATGAAACTACTTTTGTAGATGTGAGATGTTTGAATTTTAGGATTGGCACAGATAAAAACGTACAAAATAAAGTTGAATTCTATTGAAACAAAAATGTTTTTGTTTATACTTTTATTTTAAATATTTAGGTATTTAAATTTATAATCGTTTAAAATATTTAAAAAATTTTCACTATTATTAATTTATTTAATTAGTTTCCATTGATCGAGATTGAGACGAATGAATCATTACAACATTAAAAATTTGCTCATGATCGCAGCTGAAGCATATATACGCACACGACGCCACGCAGTGTTAAACAAAAATGTCTCTTTTAAGATTTTTAATATTTAATATTGAAATTCTGATTCATCTTAAACACATAAATTTGCAAATTTATACGTAAAATAAATTTAAAAAACACAATTTTTAGGTTGGTTTTTAGGTTAAATTGCTGTGTGAGGTGAGGAATTTTTACACTTAGGTATAAGGTAGGCAATTCCGATAAGTAAGGCCCAATGACGTCAAGCGTCTTGTTTCAATTACTCATAACTTATTCATTACTTATTTTTTGTTGTCTGTGCTACTCTAAGAAAAATGGAAATTAGAGTGTTGACTTCGCAAGAGTGATAAATAGTCAAAGAGTGTAAAAATTGTTATTCCTCATTGTTAATAGATCCATCCAAGTATTTTAAGATAATTGTAGTTCAAATGATATCTTAAATAGCTGAAAGTTCATATAATGATAAAATAAAAAATAACATTGTAAAGTACAATGTAAAATTCTTTCTGTATTAAATACAAGTATCCAAACATTATTTTATTACAATGAGTTATAAGTAGGTATTAACTATTGTTCAATAAATTAACATTAATCATCCATCAACTAGGTACATAATCTACTATATTTAATTTAAATAACACAGACATATACAAATATTATAGTGTTATTATGTGTTTCAGATAATTCTAAAAAGTAATCTAGTTATAGTTATCACTTTATCAGGAATACTTGAATGAATTATACAAATAATATATTTTTCCGATGCCTAATAATATTATATGAGCATAACAAACAAATGATTTTTAAACTTTTTAGGTACTATAATCAGATTACAGGATTTATCTACAGTCCAATATCTACAGCTATCCGGAGTGCGTGGGTCAATATAGAGAGTAGTTGGTAGGAGGGAGTGCGTCTAAATACCGTATTTGCGCCTAAGTACAAATCCTCGATTAATAAAATTAAATAATCTTAAAATAAATGTTTGTGCCTAGTTACTTTACAAATAAATAAATTTGGTAACATTGCAGTAAATCGTAAATGTTTAGTCCCACTTTTTCAGACCGCGAACTGACAGAATAAAATATATTATAATTATTTGATTATCCTAGTGTGGTTAAAAATTTGGCTTCACTGTCCTGTCGAGTCGTTAATGTTTTTTATTGTACCTATTATATTTTTAATAAAATTAAATTAAAAATGTTCTAGTTATTTTGACTTTGTTACTTATATTTTGTATGAAGTAAATTGGTGATGTTGATGTATCTCTTAATATTGATATTCTATTGTTTTTTTATAACTGCTTTATTGTTGTTCTAGCAAGATTTATTTTTATACATGTATCTGTTTGAAATTCTCTTACAACTTCCACAAAATGTGTGATTGATGGATGAGCATTAAAAAAATATGAGTTAAAATTTTAATGAAACGATTCATATGCGTTTGCTATCCGTGTTAGATTAGATACAACTTTTTGCCCATAATTCAGGAGAAAATAGACTATCTTTGCTTATAAAATTTTTAACTTTATAATTAGCATATGATTGTATTTTTTTCCTGCTGGAATTGCAGACATCAGTTCTAAAAAGCAATCTGATACTTCTTGTGATTGTAAAAATGGAAGACTGAAACAATACTGTGACTATTTTCCTTCTGGATTATTAGATTTATACATATTTGTTAATCCAAGATTTATAAATTTTTTTAACCAACATTGCCTCAAATGAAATCTGCCGGATCTTTTTTGTAATGGGTGTTTTTACTCTGAGATTACTTATAATCATAGAAAAAATGATTCTACGTAAATGCATTTTGTCTATGTTGCACATGGGCCAGAGAGACAGAACAAATGGTGAGCTGACATACTCTTAAGATGAGAACATATATTTTGATACTAAAAATATTTGAACGTCGGTAATATTTTTTGGAATATTTGTTTGTAATGTTTCTACCCGGATACCTACATTCTGCCATGAATTAATTTAACGTCACCGTAATCGAACGTGCATTCTTTGTAATTTCAGAACGTATAATTTTAATTATGCGATCAGTTATGTCTTTGGCTCTTTTTTTATACGTACTTCGAACAATTTGACTATTTATTACTATTATGGTTATGATTTAAATTGCTCAAAGTTACATTTCCATTTTAAATTTGTCTTGCTAAACATGATTTAATTGTACATCTCCAAGTTACATTACCAGATACATTTTTATAAACTTTTCTGAATTTAAAACTGTCGATAATAAGTGAATCTTTAAAATATTGTTACTTTTGCACTTTTTGCAAATATAATTTTATTTTCTATCATTTTTGAAACAAAAATACACCAGATATCTGTAATTCAGTGAAGTACGGCGACGACTGACTAACTTAGTATAATATTGTGGTCGAGATTTGAGAAATACAGTCGTAAAATGCCTTATCGACTATAATCTAGGTAATAAAAATTACCTATACAGCAAAAATGTTAGGTATTATGAAAGATTACCTATGAAGGTATATCACGTCACGACTGATATAGAAATTAAATTTCCCCATGTTTCACAATGGTTCAAAAATAAAAATAGTTGGGCTAAAATTTAAAATATATTTTTGAACCACACGTTGTTGCTAAATGTATTGATTTTTAACCTAAATTGGCTCAAGTAAGTATTTTAACCTATTTTAATTTTATTAAACGCAGTCGAGGTTTTTGAATATAGACGTAAATACGGCAAATATACAGTCCACTCAGGTGGGTATACTTTGAATAACTTCTTTCAAAACGTCTCTTATACGTCATATTAAATACTAAGAAATGAGTTAGCCATGATATAATTTTAAGCCACGTAATTCTTAAGCAAACGGGCACTGAAAATAAAAAATATTTAGAGGTCTAGATGGGTCGCTGTAACGAATGGGTTGAATTTGAATTCAATGAAAATTATTGTATAAGAAAAACGATTTTGAGTGACGAGTGTAGGCGGTCTGTCAGCATTTAATATTACTTAGTATATTTTATGATATTATCATGATTTATGACTACAGTCATTTCTTTCTTTTTTTATTTAGCCATTAATACTACTGTAGGTTAAATTAATTTTTGCCGAAAAAATTACATTTGAAATGTTATTGCGTGTATAAAATTGATAATATACTTTATAGCTTCCTAAACCACTGTTTGATTTATAGCCAACACTAGTATTGCCACCCACTTAGCCCACCTAACCTATATTATTGTTATTCGCATGGAGATTTGTTTGTATATTTAATTGTGTATATTGATTTCTCGATCAATATCGAACTTAATTGTGTGTTCTTATGACTGGGTGGCTGCTCGCGGCGTGCCGCAGCAGCAAGAGATGGATATAAGAACATTAGAATCTATATATATTTAATATTTGTTCTTAGACCATGGTCAGGCACCTGTGATAGGACCGACTTCGATCTCTTTCTCTGGTTTTACGACCTTACCGAATTGTCATGTCATCACATAACACTATTAAACCCGGACGTTGGAAATGCGTGATGTTACACGATACTGTTCCTTATTATGGGCAACCTCTATATTGTATTAAATAATTGTTGAAACTAATTTATTGCAACACAACATTTAAATATTTTTCAAAAATAAAATTTTTTTTCTTGCATATATTTATTGAAAAGTAGGTTGTGTATTTAATTTCCTTGTAATGCATATAACCGCATATATTTTGATATTTTTAAATGCAAATTTTAGTTAGGTTTTAATTATTAACACCTGAGCACTATTTTTCAGTAATCGCGATATAACAAGTAGTAGGTATTATCATAGTACACAAGGTGTGAGTATAGATATCGGTAACATCCAAATTTATCTTTAAGATGTGCTATAAACAGTGTGGGCGGGGACATCATAAAAATACTGGCTTAGAATTTCCACATTGCCGATAAAAACAGTTGGCAATCTAGTTTATTATCTACATATATCTGTGATGTCGTGACACATGTTATTCTATAACCTAACTTCTTTCCATTCGGTATTATATTTACATATAGCCGGCAACAGTCGAATGTCATGTGAACGCGTACTACGGGTTTTTAAGTTATTCTATTATATGATTTGTGGAATATTTTAGGTACTACAATACAATTGTGCGATCTTATGTCGGATAAGACTACTATCAAGGCTTTTATTGGATTTTAACAAGTAATTACAACCTATACTTATTTTATATTTTATAGGTAGGTAGGTAGCTATGTTTTAAACGTGTAATGTGCATGCACATGTACCTATGCAATACAATATGCGAACAATAGGTACCTGGGTACCATATTATTCGGTTTTATAAAGGTTAGTGGTTGTATTCAGAATACTTAATAAACATTATTGCATCACCGTATCTGATAGAGATAATAGTTTTTTTTAACGTGTAACTGTCTATCTAGATTGTGTCAAGCGTTTAAAAACGTGTTTTCATTGATAAATATTGTATGATTATAATAAATTTATTACCTATTTATGTATGTATATAATATATTATATAATAATTGTGTGTTTTAGAATATCCTGTTGATATGTTTACTATGACGTCCCATTCGGAAAAACAGGAGACAATTGATGACGAGAACAGCGAGAACCAAAATAGTTCCAACGAAGATAAAGGCATTAAGTGGTCGTTGGACATGTTGCGCACATGTCCACTGGCATTGATCCGTTCCGATCCGAGATTGCGCATCATCTATGACAGGGGTTTCGTGTCTGGTTTTTACGGGGAGCAACCGAAGGAATCTACCGTGGTGTCAGTGCCGAAACAATATGCGGAAGCTGAGGCAGAGTTAGCGCATGCAAACCCTGCGCTCGCTTTACGTTTGGGATCGAAGACGGAGAAGCTGGCTATGATTGCCGCGATGGACAGTGCTGTCGAGTCAGCGTTGAATACCGCCCTGGAGGTCGCAGAACATTCGTCTATGGCGGCCCGACTATTAACTGACAATGACGAAGAACAGTAACTTGGACAGTCTATACCTAATTTTATATAATTGTCTTATAGGTACATAATATATGTATACTGTAACTTCGATTATATTAAGTAATGTAAATTATATTACATACATTTTAAGTTCATTTGATTAAAAAAAATTAAACTAAAACAATTGCATTATCTTTTATATTACTAAGGTATGATGATCTTATATTTGCCAATAACAAATTTCATATATTATAAAACTATTTGATAAAATATGACCAACTTGAATCAACAGTCAACACCAAAGTTCCGTAGAACCAGTGGTAGCTTTTAGTAAGGCGAGGGGGGCACTCTTGGACTTTTTTTGTCAATTGTTGTGTTTTGTACGTTTTTTATTATTTTCAAGGTATAATATCGATATAGGTATGCTCTAAATTTTGCTTTATTATTATATTAATTTTTTTTTCATCTAGTTTGAGTTTGATGTACGTAACGGGTTTAGCTGTAATTACGGAGAGGGTTGGTTTGAGCTCATAGTCATATACTATTTCTTTATACTTCTAGGTTTAGTTAGTTATCATCAATATAATCGCTCATCCGGAAGAAAAACGACACTAGTAAAAAATGATCAATTTTGAGTTTTTTTATACATTAAAATAAAATAAGGTGTACATTTTATCGTGAAAAAATGACACTTCTATAGTTAAAAAATTCCCTACCCGAGTGCACTAGTGTCACTTTTCTACTGATAAGAAAATAACACTCGTTAAACAAGAATAGTGTCACTTTATCAGTTACTCTAAGACCGTTTTAGAATATAGATTTGATTGAATTAAGAAAACTGTCATATTTCGAGTTATTTTTTTTGATTTAATGATACACATCAAGAAAACTGTCACATTTAGAGTTCTGACACTTTACTTGATTAGATAAGATGAAAATCAAATGTAATCGAATTATAACACGTTATATATCAAAATGTGGCATTTTTCTTTTAAACAATATTATTTATATTCTGTCACAAATCAAAATATGTCACTATAGCAAAATAACGTTTTACTTAATTGTTTAAAAAAAAAATGGTTTCAGTTTTTATTTCAAGTTGTGACATTTTTCATGTTTAAATTCATGTATAAATTCATGATATTATTTAATTTAATAATTGTTATTACTTTAACACACTTGATAATTTAAATTTGCATTTAGCTATGTCACAAACAAATCGAAGTCGTTTAATTTTAAGATTGTCAAAAGAAAAAATAACCAATGGCAGTAAAATCGGTTCTAAAGAAGGTAATCATAATTTATATTGTATTTTAATAATACTATTATAACTATTATCCTTTAGTATAAATGCTTTGAAAAAAGGTAGTTAAAAATTGTATTAAATTATAGTTTGGTCATCAGGAACAAAGGGAGGCACAGAAAAAGATGATATTATTGAGCTTAGTAATAACCAAGGTAAAATTTAAAAAATTGTGTTTAAATCACAATTTTTACATATTTAAAAATTACATAATTTTTTTAGATGTTGCAATTCCTTCTTTGGAACCTAAAATATCCGTTACACAAAATTACAATACTGAATCTAGTAATTATGAACAAGGTGTTGAAGTTAATATGGTAGATACTGACATAGTTATTAATGAAAATTACAATATCCTATCCAGTACTTCTGATCAGAGTAAAATATAAAATACCTAAACCTATTATCAATGATGCGAATAATACAATATTAAAATCTATTATAACCATTTTATTAGAAAATGTAGAGTGTTCCATCCATTCAAGTGAGAGTGATTTGGATACAAGTTTATTATCATCATCAAGTAGCAGCAGCTATGTAGATGATACTGATGCAGATCTCAACTTTGAATTACTAACGGTCAAAAGTATTAATACCTCAATTGAGGTAGAAGATAATGAAAATATATAGTAAATATAACTATTGAAAATAAAACTTCAAGAAAAGTAAAAAATACAAGTGAAATAAAAAAGTGAGAAAAAAAAGTAGCTAGGTAATCAAGAAAACTGGAGAAAGAATGTGGTTAAAAAATTGAGGAATTCTGGTAAGAGTTATGTCTCATCTTCAAAAAGTAATAGATTTATTGAGGCAAAAAAGGTATTACCCCCATGTGGTGAAAAATGTAAACTAAAATGCTTCACTAAATTTACAAAAGCAAATAGACAAAGCATATTTGAAGATTACTGGAAAATTGGCAATATAGAAGAGCAACATTATTTTCTTTCATCCAGCATGACAGTTGTAAAACCCAAATATAGATATGTTATAGAAAATAGCCATCGTCGTGAAAACAACTCTTTTCATTTTAAAATAAATAAAAATAGAATCCGTGTATGTAAACAATTTTTTAAGGCGACATTATGCGTTAATGATAGACCATTACGAACTGTAATTGAAAAACAAGATTCATTCACAGGAAAAATTCTTGCTAATGATTATAGAGGCAAACACAAAAATCATGTCAAGGTACCTGATTCAATTAAAGAAGACATTCACATACGATCCATTCCAAGGATCGAAAGTCATTACTGCCGTGCCAACACTTCAAAAGAGTTTATTGAAGGTGGAAAATCTATACCTGATCTGCATAGAGATTATAAATCAGAATGTGAAGAAAAAATATTTTAGCAGCAAACTATGTTATGTATGCCCGTATATTCAACGAAGAGTTTAATATTTCATTCTTTACACCAAAAAAAGATCAATGTGAGCTTTGTATTTCATACGACAATTCTGATTCTATAGAAAAAGTATTACTTCAAGAAAAATATGATACTCATTTAAAAGAAAAAGTTTTATCTCGCATAGAAAAAGATAAGCATTCAAATTGTGCGACAGCAGTCTATGATCTTCAAGCAGTTTTACCATATCCATTGGGTAATGCATCTTAATTTTATTATGTTTCAAAACTCAACATTTTTAACTTTACAGTGTACAATTTACAAACCAATGATGTCTAATGTTATGTCTGGCAAGAAGGACAAGCACACAGAGGAGCATTGGTATACTTAACTATCTTAAGGTATTACAAGAAAATGCAACTGCAACAGAAACAAATACTCAATTACATGTAATATTTTTGCTAAACTGCACTGATCAACAGAAAAATAAATTTTTTTAGCTATGTACTTGTATGCAGTTTTAAATTTATCACATATAAATAGCATCACACCCAAATATTTGATCACTGGCCACACACAAAATGAGGGTGCCAATGCTCATTCTGTTATAGAAAAACATGTCAAAAAATCAAAAAAATCTGGTCCTATTTATGTTCCTGAAAAATATGTAACTTTTATTAGATTTGCTAAAAAAAAGTGGCAATCCATATAAAGTTCAGGAAATGTGCTATAAAGATTTTTTTGATCTTAAAGACCTTACCACTAATTTAGATATCAACATTTTTTCAAATAAGAGTTTAAATGGAAATACATTCAAAATAACTGAAGTAAAAATGTTAAAAGTGGCAAAAGGTGATCCAGGTACTATTTATTTTAAAAACTCGTATGAGCAGATGGAATTTGATTTTATAAGTATCAAAAGTAAGAAAACAAGGAAAAATAGTGATCAATTTCAAAATAATAATATAGAATTAAAATAAGCCTATGGTGTAAAACCTGGTATTACTGAAGCAAAAAAAAGTGGATTGTTATCTTTAATTAAAACAAATTGTATTCCTAACTATTACTATGACTCTTATAATAACTTATAAGCCTGATTACTATTAGTTATTTTTGTATTAAATTGTAATAAAACATTTTTTAAGGTTATTGTATTATTTTGTAATCATTTAGAAGACTGTTTATGATTTAGTTTTTGTTATGTTCAATAAGAGGAGTTTTATATTCCTCATTTTTTAATTATTTAGAAGACTGTTTATAATATTGGTTTTGTTATACGCAATAAGAAAAATATGTTACTGTTTGTTAGAATATTTTATAACTTGTTTTAATTTTCTAAAGTCAATATCAAAACACTTAACTATATTATGTAACTTTAAATTGCTTAGCATAGTATGCAAAATCAAAAAATGTGATTTACTAGAATTTTTAAAAAGAAATATCAAAATGTTAAAATAGTAAATGGCTCAAATTTGAATTTGTTTTTAATTCTCAAGTATATTATAATATTATAAGTAAACAAAATAATATTATGTTAGTTAAACAAATTAATTAAATAATATAATAATAATATTATATTTAATCAAATTTTGAGTTACATGGAGTTTTAAATTGGTTTTTTATTTCATTGTAATGATTTATTTAAACAAAAAAGTTTAATCCACTCTCCTGGAAAATAGCACATTTTGAATTGTGTCTTTTTTCTTCCGGATGAGTGATATGATTGTTACTATAGTTGTTATCTATTTTTTTTATACTTACATAAAAATAATTAATTGATTAAATTGATTTTACTTAGGTAATTAATTACATCAATGCATTTACCAACCTTACTATTCGGATATTCATGTTTCTTTAGATTGCCGGCAAATCATTTGAGTATATTAGTATGAACTTATTTATTGTTTCATAATATAATGTATACGGATAGGTTAGATACCTACCAATAATTCAGATGAAGTTGCTTGATAAATAAAACAATAAAACTTAACTGTGTAAATTATGAAAAAAATTAAAGTTATACCTGTACGGCTATACGTCATCTATGAGGACCATAATCAAATAGTATTCTTCATTTGATATATTAGGAATGTAATAATAATTATTAGGGCCCGGATTTGTATGCAAATACATATTCTTCTAAATTCGACTAGAATAATTTTGATCATAAATGTATATGTTTCATAATGTGTAGATTCTATAATTCTATATATGTTCGTCACATGATACCGGGTATTCCACGCTATCGTTGTTACGACACACACCGCGAGACCGTTCCGTCATCTCCGGAGAGGGAACCTTTATCGGCGTGTCGCCGACGGCTTTTTGCCCCGCCGCAAGCTTATCCGTTGTGTTGTTGTTGTCGCCGTTGCTCGCACACACCGTTCTCGCCATCATTGCACA